AATACAAACAAATAAACAAAGTAAAAGTAAATAAAGTCAATTCGAAGCAAAGCACAGCAAAACCCAACAAACACAAATTGAAAAAAAATCAGAAATGAGAAGATCAAACCACTTAGGGATAGTCAGGAATGTACTTGATAGTGTTTGCTTCTCCTATTTCTTCAAGACATCAACGAATGCTCAGAAAGTAATGGCGGCTGCAGTCAGCTGTGTGAAAACACGGCTGGAACCTTTAATTGTAAGTGCCGTGATGGCTTCAGATTGCAAAATGACGGGAAGACATGCAAAGGTGAGGACAAAATGTAGTACCGAAACAAAATAGTACCCTGCTTGTTACTCCCTAGATAAGGGATTTCTGATGAAATTAATCTTCTTAAGATTTGCATCATGTACTTTTTTCAATTTTGACAGTTGCTGGTCTGGCATGCCCCATCCACTAACCCAATTACCCTTGCGTCAAACGTTTGAGCACTAAAAGTACGCCACCCGCATACGCGACATCTCACAAGGTCATGATCGTTTTCTACCCCACCAAAGTAAAAAGAAATTTTCTCTTTTCCATCAATGTTTAATCAGTTTTTTCATCATCGAAAAAAAAGGAAATGTTTCTCCGACTCTGATACAATCGTTTTGATGACTTTCTCAACCACCAGACATCGACGAATGTGCAGAAAGCATTGATTTGTGTACTCAGAACTGTCATAATACCGAGGGAAGTTATACCTGCAGCTGTAACGCTGGATACAGACTCGCCTCGAACAAGTACACTTGCGAAAGTAGGTGAATAGTTTATTATAATATTAATTCAAACACATGCAACAAAACACATTTAGAAACTTGTGAAAAAAAAGTTTCATGGCTGGTATGACGCACTTTTCGCTCTGGCCAAAAGACACATCAAATACCTCTAGGAGTTTTTAAGCAAACGCGTTGAGCATCGTGCTCAAAGACCTGTCCATCCAACAGAAAATTTACGAGATACAATTTACATCACTTATGAATTTTGTTCTGTGTCAATACTTTCCTATCATTTTTTGCGCATGAAAAGTTGAATGAGTTTAGTTCTCTAATTACGGTTTCTGGAGTAGTAGTAAATATTTGCATGGATTCATATAAAAGAAATATACGTTAAGTTCCAATTTTTTCCTCTCAATTTTTGTTATGTTCTCATATTAAGACATCGATGAGTGCCAGGAAGGTACTTCTGGATGCAACCAGATCTGCACAGATACCCTTGGAAGCTTCAAATGTAGCTGTAGGACCGGTTACAAACTGAAGTCAGACATGAAGACTTGTGAAGGTATTTCAATCTATTTGCATATTTAGAGCTTCACGGTGTCTACCCTCATTCAGGGGAAAGGTAATAGAAAAGAAAGGTTGGTAAAATAAAGTTTGGTTAGAATAAGATACAAATATATACATAAATATATAAATATATATATATATATATATACACAACAGAAGCATTGTGTTAACCCTTTAAGTCCAACTAGTGACGTAGACAGAATTTCTCCTTACACTATCAGTAAAATATCAAGCAGACAAGTAATGAGTATAAAGAAAATATTAATTAGGAGATTCTTGGCTGGTCGGATTCTAAATTCTCCAAACTAACATCAAATGAATTGTACGGCAGACAGTAAGGAGAATTACTGAAGAGATCTTGGGAGTTAAAGGGTTAAGGCCGGTTTTTCGTTTGTTTTCTGTTCTCTGTGTCGTTGTATTTATTATGACAAAATAAAGGGCATAGTACTTAAAGATAGATTTAGAAACAAACAAACAAACAAATAAAAACTTCTGTCAGTTCTGTTCCTTAAAAACCATATAGAATTTCGGTTTCAGCTTCACTGAACATTCTACCGTATCTGCACTACATTGGAATCTACGGGATATTTCAAGGAACATTATTTGCACCATATCTTATCTATACACACACATATATATCTATGTATATTTAATTATGAATTCACATCATGTTCATCTCAGATATAGATGAGTGTCTGGACAGTAATGGGGGATGCAGTGACACTTGTCAAAATTTGGTGGGTTCGTACATTTGCATCTGTCCTAACGGCTACCAACTTGATGGAACTGGAAAGAAATGCATTGGTAAGTCAAAAATGAAGTTTTTCCCGTCTATTTGGTAATTTCATTTAATTTTTTTGCTTCAAATTAAAGATCAGATGATTCGAAATCTAGTCTTTTGTATTGTCACTACGATTTTTTTATCATTGCCGTTGATTTTTCAAGTCAAATATTTGCGATGAAAGAGCAAATGGAAATGAGAATGGCATCATCACTGCTTTCAGTTTTTCGATGTTTGGGTTTACATTCAATCTGAAGACAGATTTTTGATCTATAGACAAAGATGAGTGCGCTCTTGCAAACGGTGGATGTCAACACACCTGTGAGAACAGTGTTGGTAGCTTCTCATGCTCCTGTAACGATGGGTATAAACTCAATTCTGATGGCTTAACTTGCTCAGGTAATACTCTTGATAGTTTTTTTCCATTTAGAAACGAATCTGAGAGATTCAGAGAGGAGAAATAGAATGATTGAATAAATGAATACGCTAAGGATAACATTCAAATGATAACAATTATTCTGATAAATGAAAATAACGGAAATGCGCTGCCGTGTGATGAAGAAACTGATCATGATGCTGACAATGATGTTGATAACAATGATGATCCTTATAGAGATAGTGAAAGTGGTAGAAATAATAACAATAATAATAACAGTAATCATAGTAATGATTACGTGGAGTGATATTAACGTGCAATTATATTGTATGGGTAATCACACGATTTCGAGTGCTTTTTGCTAAAAATTTGCAATCGAGCGTTTGTACTTTCTCCAAGCTCGGTATCATTTTAATCATGTCAATAAGGGCACATAGATCTGAATCAATGTTGTGTTTTGTAGACATCGATGAATGCTCAGATGGTTCAGCACAGTGTGACCCAAAAAGCACCACTTGTAATAACCTTATACCTGACTATGAATGCAAGTGTAAACCAGGATACATTGTGATAAGCAATGATAAATACAAGTGCAAAGGTAACTGCTTGTTCATGGTTTCCTTGACTCACTGCCAACAGTGCATTTAACGTTATATTCTGCAGAAGTAGCGACCTTTGTAGAAAAAAAATTTTCTTTCGATTTTTTTTCACCAGTCATCACGAAAAAAAAAGATAAACAGAAAAATTTGCTGTGCTCTATAAAGTGAAGAGATTGAATGTTTGTTTTGAAGATCAAAATGAAGTTGAAAGACACTAGGCTCAGATTTGTGGTTTATTATTCAGTTTTTTGGTCCAATATTTAAATTTTTTTTTCCTTTTTTTTTTATCTAATAATCAGTTTAATTTGCTGATATGGTAGATCTACTCATGTGAGAATTCGTGAAACTAAAAAATTGTTACTGAAATTAAAAACTGAATAATTTGGATCATGAGAGATTCCTTTTTATGGTATAACACCTTTACACGACATTGGTAATATCCCATCAGAACGTTGTACCTCCAACCAACGTAAAGAATTGAGATCCCTAAATGAAGAAACAATTTAAATTAAATTTTATTATAGCTCCAACTTGCCCAGCACTTGTCCAATCAATGGGAACCACCGTTTTTCCATCAACTTGCCTACAAGATCAGGTCATGGAGGCCGGCGATTTGTGTAAATTCAGCTGCACCGACGGGTTCGAGCTGCCAGATAACGAAGATACCCTCATCTGCCTAGCTACCGGAAACTGGAATGCATCAATAATAAACTGCAAAAGTAAGGAATACATGCGAATATATAGTTTTCACAGTTAATTAAAAAAAAATTCAAATTAAGTTACTTGTTTAAAGCATATTAACATACAAAATTTAGCAATATCTATGGGTGGTAGAAACTGTTATCTCTAACACAACTCTACGGAAAAGGATACAAAACTCACTATTCGTTGCCTAAAAATTTGCAACTTCCTCGAGCTTCACTTGGAGGGAAAGAAGGAAATACCATATCAAAATAGAACTTGATCAACGAGTGTGATGATAATGCTCACGAAAATGATAAGAATTCTCCATAGCCAAGAAGAACGATGGATTTCGGGTTGGACTCCAAACGCCACCTGGAAATAGGCTTCCGTTCAATACAGACGTCACTTTGCGTTATTTAATGTGTTTATTTCATTAATACGGCACATCGTAAAAATATATTGTTTGGATTATTCTTTGTTATAGTCGTTTCAATTTGTCGAGGCTTCCTTCCAGAGTCTTTTCATAACCGATTACATTTGTTAATTATTTCTGTATCACAGTAAACATGACAAAAAGAAATTTTAAAAAGAATAAAATCAATCAAATAAAAAGCAAAGGCAAAAACAACAAAATTGAAAATTATGGATGGCTGAAGTTTCTTAGGAGATCACCATCTTCTTTAAGCAGTGCGGTAACGTCCTTCAAATGTCGCTAAGTTATAAACTACCCTGGCCCTAATGATGTCCTCCAAACATACCGACGATACTGAGCCTTTAAGCGCAAGAGGAAAATCAATTATTACCAAAAGTTTGAACATTGGAGTTAAAAAAATCAAAGAGCCGAATATAGATATTTTTAGAAAAAAACATCGTCGTACTCAAAGGTCTAGGACCTTTTCGAGAAAGTAATGGCATGTGAATGAATGAAGGACTTTCTTTAAGTGTCAATAGTATTTAGCTTGAAGAAAACTAATTGGGGACACTGTTTACGCATTAAAATATACTTAAGCTGCAGAAAGTTAAAATTATTTATAATTCAATTCATAATGTATAGAATTGATAGATAAATAAATAAGTAACTGAAGTATAAGAATTTAGTAAAATAAGCGTAGAAGATATTAAATATATATAAAATGTAAAATTCAAAGGGGCCTAGCAGCATATATTACAGTTTTACAATTATTTATCAAAAGTGATAGGTCTTTGCCCTTAATACTGTTTTAAAACTCACAAAATTAGGATTCTCTTCATCACTTTGTTTTAATTTATTTTAAAGATGGGGCCCAAAGTATCGAAGAGAATGTTTTCCATAGTGTACTGTGCGAAACGTGGAATATTGAAATCAGCGTTCCTCAGATTATATCGTTTCGCGGCTGTATTTAGTCTGTTTAATGTAGTCCGTTTTTTACTTTATTCATGAAAACGGTGATACTTTGTAACCGTTGTTGGTACAGACTTAGTAGACCTGCTCTTGTAAGTAGCTCGCTGTAGGTCTCCGATTTGGACTTAAAGACTGCCCTGAGTGCCCGCTCTTGAATTCTTTCCATTTTCTTCTTATCAGATGAATTGCAAAAGTGCCATACAATATCACAATATGTAAGGTGGGGTAAAATATTACACTTGTACAACTGTAACTTTGCGGACCATGGGATTAAATTACATAGTCTCAGTAAGACCCTAACCTTGCAGCTCGTCCAATCAAATGTACCTGTATTTCAACCAACAGTCATATTTAACACTTAAGCTTGTCACTCAATGAAGCGTTAATCTCCCTTGACAGGAGTAAGCTGTCCTAAGCTGGTTGCTCCTGCAAATGGAAAGCTGAATCCAGATACTTGTGCTTCTGAAGGAGGCCATTATCAAGGAAAGTGCGGGTACGTTTGTAACAGTGGTTATACCTTGTCAGGGGTTCAGATCAAGAATTGCCTGAGCAGTGGACAATGGGACAGCCAGGAAGAACCAACATGCATTCAAAGTGAGCATAAAACCTTTTATAGAGAATGCTGAATCGACGCCCGTATGAATGGAATTTCTATTAGTGTGTTCAACGCGTTAGCTAAAAAGTGAGCGGAGCGAACGAGTGTGATGTCGAATTAAACACGAGGAGAGAAATGTCATATCTACAGGCAATCATGTATAATTAATTTTTGTTTATCATAAAAACACAATAGTCCTTTACCGACAAGAAAAGTCGACTTCATCAACGAATAAAAATAAAAGGATCGACGATCCCCGACCAAAAATCGTAATATGCGTTGAGGCTAAAGCCTCTTTCAAACAGTCACGACGGTCGATAATAGTTTCAACTTTCATTCACTATTACTGACTATCATGTTTGCGTGAAAACAGTTCATAATAGTTGCTGATAGTTGACAAAATCACCCAAAGAGATGGCGTAATTCTAAACAAATATGGTGCGAGCTGAGGTCAGCAATTCAGCAGTTCGGTGAGATTTGAAATTTTAGTCAAGTTGCGAGTTAAATACTGAAGCTAACCACGAGATGATAATAATAAACTGCTGACCAAACGACTATTATTCACTTTCATCCGCTCGTTTAAACCGCAAAAACTATCATCAAGCATCATGTCGAATTCGGACATGTCTAAACTACTTGATAGTTGATGAAAGTCGTTAATGATCAGTGTTAGTTCGTGTTCAAACGCACGTGCTATTTGAAACTATCATCAACTATCATGACCATTTGAACGGGGCTTAACGTTCGAGATGAAAAAATGCTTTGACGCACTACAAAAAAACAATGGTCCCGATTTTCAATAAGCAAAATTCTCAGTTATTGGTTTTTTTTCTTACCGGCTGAAGAAATTTTTCAGATACATAGCCGAAATCGGTCTATGACAAATTAGTGGATTTTCGTTCTCAGCGGCGAAAAATATCATTAAAAGAGCCAGTGAATGCGTATCTTTCGGTTTTTCTTTTCATATTTTGGTTTTATTCCCTTCTATAAAAGTTTAAACGTCACTGTCTGTAAGCGATACGGATTTTTCAGTGTATTATCAGCAATAATCTTGGATTTAGAAAGGTGAAGACTTCATTCATCAACCTGATCGAGTTTCGCGAAAGGCGAGTGACGTTTCAGCAGCTGACTGGTGATATAAAACACATGAAAAAATATCGTATTTTTCCACGTGTATTGTTACGGCTTTTCTCTGAGCCGGAAATCCTTGTACAAGATCGTGGTTTATATGATAAACTGCTGTCTTTTGTAAGAAAGAATCCCTAAACCCTGCATGAACTCATGACCCTCAAATGCGAAATTCAGATAGTATAAATGAGTCCCTAAAACTGACCTACAAGTACAGGTGAAGAACGGTTACCTTTTTTTTGTAGAAAAAAACATTTTTCAGGCAATGTGTGTTTACATCCTAGAATGTAAAAGGGTCGTTAGTTACACGAGAGGTGTCAGTCGATTCCAAGGGAATATAATCCGAAGTAAAAATTTTAACGGTAATGTTTTGGGATAGAAGGAATTCGAAACCGTTATATTTATGTTTGATCCCGATAAAGGCCGATAGACTGCTGTGTATGCAACGAGGTAAACGATCTGATCTTTGATAGTAAAGCTGATTGTCAAACTGACCAAGATTTTTTTGTTACCTTCAAAATGTCCAAACGATGGACTAGACTTCATCCGATCGGAAAATTTGGAAAATATCTAATTACTGATAAAAATACTCGAAAGACCCAATCCTGCGAAGGGTAGCAGCCCTGAAAATTTCATTTTTCCTACATGTATGTCGGCTGGCTTATTTGAAAAATCAGAAGCTGCACTCGCCTTCGTCTTGTGATTTATAAACTTTTCTTGAGTTCACCCAATATCCTGCGTTGCTTAAAACGCCAGTTGGCCGATAGAAAGTGTGGTCTTATGCTGATTTCTTATTTTAATCAAGAGATAGGAATTTAAAAATAGCTACATTTCTTCAGATGAACGCAATTAATAAAAAAAAGACATCAGACATTTATTTCACTTTACACAGACTATCAGGATCCTTATATAACATGTCCAGATAACGTGCAAGTTGATCTTTCTCCTGGTGCCAATGAAGCAGACGTTTCGGCCTTGCTCCAGGATCCCACGTCCAATCAACCACCTTCCAGAATAACAATCACACCGGCAGAGTACTTCAAAGACAAAATGTTTCCAGCCGGCACAACGTATTTGAATTACGTGGCAACAAACGAAGTCGGAAAAACAGCCCAGTGTCAGACTGTGATCATCGTCGTCGGTATTCATTGAGCCATTTACTCATTTATGTC